CCACACAGCCAGACTTTGACAAATGGTGAATGAGTTCAATGACTTCACATCACAGAACAACACAGCAATGGAAGCAAAGCTATTCGCATTATACCTCAAAACAGAAAAAGTGGGCAAAATCCCATTATTTCATGTATAAATAACAGCAGTGACAGAAAAATATATTTCCAATGAGTGTCATGTATTTGGCCAAAGCAATGTTGATTGCTACAGAGGCCACCTTCTCTAAGTTACTGCTACTTATGTTCAGGGAACAAGGACACACTAAAGACGAAGAGACAGCACAAGTGTCATGCTGTCATTTTGGTCACAGCACCAGCTCCAGTCAGCTGTAACTCTTCTCTGAGCTATCACTGCTAAACACCTTATCACACCTAAAATGATGACTCAGACCATTTCTTATTCTGCCAATGAATCCTTACATGGTGCCACCTCTGGCTACTATCAAAACCGCCTGTAACCATCTCAGCCATTAACTCCACACTACACCCATTCCAAAGAACCTTTCAGAACACTGCTCTGCTCTGTTAATACCCACATATTTGGTGAGTAAATTAAGAATCTCTCTTTCAGCATTTACTGAGTGTGTAGCGTAGTAAGTAAATGTAGCGTAGGAACTACACTCCTGAAAGGCCTGTACTTTTCCTACACAGCATCTCCATTTTTCAGATTTTCCTCACAAAGGGGAGGGATTGGCTCAATATCAACATAAGATTTAGTCTTACTTTACATTTCTTAAAACAATACAACAGCATTGCTTTGCAAGAACCTTTTTCTTGCTTATCTATCCCACTGTTTACAAAATTGCAGTCAATTAACATTTCCATAATTTCACTCACATTGTCAAGATAGTTTCTGAAGGAATATTCTAGAGAAGGCTGTAACACAATAGTGTAATTATATTCAGCAGCCCCCAAACAAGAAAAGGCATTTTTGAAACATCTACACCGAAATAAATCCCCCTTCTTCACATTAAATCAGGGAATCTTTATTTCCTTCAAACAATTAGGTTTATGGCTTCTTTCAGGAAGGTAAAACAGAAAACAAACAAACAAACAAACCAAAAAAAGAAGCTGTCAGTCCAGCCAGTCCCAATTTTATCTAGCACTGCAAACCAGTACTGAAAACTGAGTCTGCTACAAAGGTAAACACAAACCACTCAAAACTGGAATCAAAGCCTTGTATTTGTTTATAGAGAACACTCCATGGCAAAATTGCTTCTCACCTTTGGACACAATAAAACGTGGATCTGGGCTTGGACAAAGGCACGGCCAAAAGATGGTTTAGAAATTATATTGTAAGCATCCCGGTTTGTGACCAGTCCTGCCATTCTTGAATGCATTAATCAGTCATCAAGTTTTATATTTTTTGGATACTGGTATAGAGGATTAAAAATTAATTGAAGTATGACGAAAACCTATTATAACCATATTTTATACGCACAGCTGCACCACAATTACACTGCGGAAGGAGAAAAATTAATTGGGAAGGAGAAAACTTTGGAGTCAAACACAACAGCGTATTTTTGAGGCACGAGATACCTATTTCTGTGAGCATGAGTGAAAGAACAGAGCCCCATGCAATTTCCAGCCACTTGAAATTCCCTAAGCAGGGATACACACAAAGAGAAACAGATTCAAACAACTCCTGCAAAACACAGCTAATAAAAGCTTAGAACAGAACACAATTATAACTGAATTACATGTATTTCTGCCAAACCTGCAATATGCCTCATGCTTCAACAACAAATATAGTCAAAGATTTGAGGGAGAAAAGGTTCCCAGTTTTTAGTAATTATCAACAGAACATTAATTGCATACCTACTATTATTATTTCACTATGTGAAGATCTAGTTTGCTGTAATTTTAATGCTGCATGTCACTCAGAGACAGCTAAAGAAAGCCTTAAAGCACTATGAAAATAAGATTTTTTAAAGAAATACTGAAATCTCCAGACAAAACGTCTGCCTCAGATGGTCTTAAAAATGGGAAACACAGGCTTACCATTCAAAACCTGAATGGAAAAAGAACTGTAATAAAAGAAAAAGCATCTGCTGTAGTCTTATCTTGAAAGATATAAAGTTTCCTCTTTGACTCAGTTCATCAGACCCTTGAAGGGTCTACACAAGTGACTGGAGACAGGCAGGCACCTCTCCTCCCTCTCCAAACTGGCCAGAGAGGAGCCAAATTGAACCGGGAGGCCACGCAGAAGCATCAGCACAGCAGCAAGCGAGCCGAGGCTGAACATCCCGTGCTGCGAGCAGGGGCAGCGCGCTCTGCGCCGATCCCTCGCCGTGTTTTAGCCAGGCGTTGAGTCACACGCAGGAATTCATCCAACTCAAAACCAGGCCAAGAGCAACAAGAGCAGATTTGCATTTGGCCAGGAGTAACAGTCCCATCCCAAGCGGGAGGTCGGGAATGCGTAGCCAGAGGTGAGGCAGGCAGGCAGACCCCCGGTTTTGGGGAGCAAGGTTTGGGGAGAGCCAGCGCAGCCCCACACCAGCACAGGTGGAGAGCTCCCAAACGAGGACTGCCTTTGTGAAATAGCTGCCTGAGCCAGGGAAGTCAACATCCTTCGTATTATCCTTATTTCCAGACACATCTGGTGAGGCCTGACTCTTTCCATGACCCACTCCGAATAATTTAGATAATTTTAATCTCGCTGGATAATATTCAAACTTCCATTTCTTAAGCCTGCTTTGTGGACTCAGGACCCTTAGGGAAACAATGCTATAATTTTTCATAGTGATAATATGAAACAATGCATTACTATAGGACAATGCTAATATTATCCCCTGCAGCTGTTATTCCCAATATTTTCTTCCAAACACAGCAAAACCAAAAACCATAGTAAGATAAGTAGCAGTCCCCAGATGAGTCAGGTACTCATCAATAGTTTTCTCCACCCCACTGAGTTGCTCACAGGATCTGTCCCTTCTATAGGTCAAAGTAACTTGCTATTGGGGAAAAACCTGGCAAAATCTTCAAAACTAGGAGCTTTTCATGTAAAATGTATGGGGGGGAAGGTTTTTTTCCAATGACAGTCTAATTCTGCAGGCTGCTCTTCAGGAGCAAGGATCTACACCCCACCACAGGACTCAGAATCATCAGTATTCAGAAGATTTCTGAAGTCAATGACCACTTGTTTGTGTTCTCCACACACCATGCAGCCAAATGACAGCTTCTGTGCCTTTGGTCAAACTGCCAACAGTCCCTGACACAATCCTTCTGCCCTGTCATCATCCATGGTCCTCTCCCTGCCAGCACTCCCACACCTTCCCAAGTCACCCACCTCCCCAAGATTCAGGTTTGTCAGATCTGAACTGACTTTGGGGAAGGTACAAGAAGCACACCAGTCAAAGCTGCTTCCTGTAACAGAGCCACAAACTTTGTGCCTCTGTTAACAGGCCATTTCCTATTACTTTCCTAGTAGTTGATCTCTTGATTTTTTTTTTTCCCAGCTGACATGCTTTGGGTCCTATTTACTCAGCCTTTTCTCACATGGTCTTCAAGATGTTTTAAAACTACATTTCCCCACCACTAATTTAAACAAGCCTTGACAAGAATTAAACTTGAATCCTGAGTTGGAAGAGCTGAAGAATTTGCAGCTTTGCTACAATATCAGATCCATCCTCAAACATACTCTAAATATAGTAGAAGGTTGGCCTCAATCTGCTATTCCTTCATGTTTAATTCACATACCTTTGAGTGAATGCATCCCCACCCCCCTCAATTTTCTCATCCCCAGTTCTCATCACCCATGTACTGAAATTTATGGTGACTTTAACTTATACAAACACCTCAAAACACAAAGGAAGTGTTTTAAAACACTGTAGTTATGCAGAAACAAGTTGTTAGAACAACACAATAGATCTAGAGGTTAAAGCACTACACTGCAGCAGGGATTTTACAACTTCACTAAAGCAACTATGAATTTTTAAACTATGTAGTTCCTTCAAACAGAAAACGAGTCCCTAACTCAGTAATGAACAGAACTTGGACTTTTCTAGTCAAGAACATTACCACTAAGCAAGAAACTATGATAATTTTGATACAGCAGTGCAAATCAAAATAAACTCCAGTAGCAAATCTCTGTGCCACCAGCTTCTTAGTAAGTGGGGATGAAGGTTCCCAGAATGCCAGCATGCACAGAAAGTTACACTCGAAACTAACAAGCCAAAACAATGTGAGCTTTTGGTACTGAAGTTTCTGAAAGGCCTTGCACTTTGCTGTGTTTCTAGGATCATCTAATAGTTCAACCATGCATGTGTTATAATATAAATTCAAGTGAACCAGGAGTAGATATGGATTTTGGAACATATTTTTCTAGCCTAAAAATGACCTTCAGAGATAGCAAATTCTCAGTCTAAATAAAGATGCAAAACTAGCTTTTTCACTGAATTTATAGTGCAATATTTCTGGGTGAACTTCCATTCAGTTTTACTGCTTCACCCCCACAAGATAATGGTCTGTCATTAGTTATTTGTTTCTCTAGCTATGCCCTTAAAAGGCTCCAAGGCAAACACGAAAAAACAAATTGTTCTGAGTAACATTACTGTAAAGGACTGTATAAGACAAGACAAGGTCACATGTCCCTGGTTTCCAGAGAACCGAGGATATCCTCACAGGATCCTATACCAAAATTTGTGTTTGTGGTGCCCTGCGGGTGGGGGGTAGCAGGGATATCCAGTCATTTCCCAATCAAGAGACGGAAAACATCATCAAGGCTCTGAGTAAGGCTCTTTGCTCACATGATTAAAATTCTATCGCTATATGTGGTGTTACCACACTTCTATTAAAAAAAACCAAAAACAACGTAGGGGCCTAACAGCAGGAGAAAAAAAACAAAAGGCAATCCTCCCACAGAATTAGATTAGATCTTCCTTTATTTTGAACTGTATCGCACTGACGATTTACCCCCACCCGCAGCGGCGAGGCAGGGCGGGAGCCGCTCGCCACATCCTCTCCTCATCCACAGGGTCGCACCCGGCGTCAACTCACCCAAGGAGGAGCCGCAGCACCAGCGGGGCCGGGGCCGCCGCTGCCCCCGCAGCACCGCCCGGTGCCAGGGGCTCGACCCGGCCGCTGCCGGCTCCCGGCCGCTCCCGGTACCTGCCCGGCACGACCCCGCCGGCCCCGGGCAGCCGCCGCAGCCGGCCCGGCCCCGCCGCCTCCCGGGCATCCTCCCGCTCCAGCGTCGCCTCCTCCTCTCCCTCGCCCCCACACCATCTTCTACGTTCTTGGGTGTTTTGGGGATTTTTTTTCCTTTTCTTCCCTCCGCCGTGCGCCAGCGGGTTGTTACCTTTAACTGCCGCTTTTCCGACCAATTCCTGTTTCCAAATCGCTGCCCCCCACCTTCCCCAGCACGCAAGCAACTCCCGGCAAAGAAGAGGCGGAGGAAAAGAGGAAAAGCCAACCCCCCCCCCCCCCCCAAAACAAAAAACAAAACCAAATAAAAACCACGGGAAAAAAAACCCAAGCAAAACCTACCCAAATAAAATGAACAAACCTCTCGTGGCGCTCCGGGTGTGACAGTGTGTATCCGGCCGGGGGAGGGAGGCGGGCAGCAGCAGCGCCTGCCTCGCCGCTCCGAGCCGGACCGGGGGAGGATGCGCACCCGCCCGGGGTGCGGACTGGGGCCGGCTGGCTCGGCGCCGGGGGCTCTGCAGCAGAAGCCGCCAGGCACCGCCAGGGCGGGAGAGCGGCCCCCCCGCGGCAGCGCTCGGCCCCGCGTGTGCCCGGCAACCCCCGCCTCAGGCCGCCCCTTCCCCCGCGGCCGCCGCCGGCGTCGCCCCTCAGCTGTGGGGCACGGAGCGCTCGGCGGCACGGCCGCTCCCCGCCCTGGCCGTGCTGCAGGGGTGCGGGCACGCCGCGCCAGCCCTGCAGGAACCAGCAAGGCGGGCGAGAAAAGGCTCCCTCTCTCCCTTCCCTTCTCCCTCCCGGAGGGCTCCCCTCCTTACCGTGCTGCCGGGGCTCCTCCACCGCCTCCGGGCTTGCTGGGGCCGGAGCGAGTGGCGGCGGCGGCTTCTCCTCAGCGCCTCCCCGAGCCCCTTCCCCACCCTCGTCCTCCTCCGCTCCGCCTGCGCCGGCGTGAGCCGGCGGCCGGGAATGCGGGAAGCGCGGTCGGGCTGCGCTGGAGCCCCGCAGGCATTCGGGGGAGGGCGGGGGAGCCCCGAAAGCTCCTAAATCCACGGTGAAGGGGCAGGGAGAGTGGCCCCTCGGGTGTCCTCCAAGATTATTACACCTCCTTAGTCTCTTCAGCTTACAGCAGAATTTACGGCTGCGATTAAAATGGTCAGGAAGAATGTTGTGCACAGAAACAGAGTTATAAAATAGGCATATTAAGTTAATTATGCAAATTGTCTTATAAGCGTTAGGGAAAAACCGAGATTTGCAGCGTACCTACTCGGCCTGGAATACCTGCTTTCAACACCAATATTCATTTTCTGTCTTCGGCAATAGAAGATACACTCTCAGATCTTTTCAACTCAGCATCAGAATCTGCAAGATGTGCGTGACGTTTTTATAGCCTCTTCTTACACTTGCAGCATGTATGAGCATTAATTAATTTTATGAGGTTGTGTTCATTTCATTATTGCCTTCCATTTATTAGTACAGGGAAAAAGCTAGGCCAGGAGAGATTGGGTAAGCTGCTCACTGATGAGTGAATCGGTATGAGAGCTATCAGCAGAACACACCACACGAAAGGATTAAGGACTGCACCCACAGCTGCAGCTCCCCCACCTCTAGCTCCTTGCTTGGGGAGCGTCTAGGCTATAGGTGCCTGCCACTTCCACATGAGACCTCCCAGTACCTGTTGACACATCTGGGCATGATCTACAGCTAGGTGGAATCTCCAAAGCCTCGTTTACCTCATTCTGCCCAGTGTCCTTACAGTACATATGCCAGTCGCCTTCATGTGTCACAGGATATAGGGCCCTAAGACCCAGGTGGACCACAAAAATCCAACCAGGACACAAGGTCTGTGTCACCTGCTCTCTACGTTACACCTGTGGATTGGAGTAGGGTCATACAGAGCTAGGCAGGTGATTCATCCCACAGAAATGGGTGGGATGTAGAGAACTTTGCCTTCGTAATTCACACAGATGGAAGAAAAGCTTCTGCCTTCTCCAATACCCAGGTGCTGTCACAAAGGTTTGGAGCACTCAAGAGGTTTGGAGCACTCAAAGAGAGTGGAAGCTCTCTTTCAATTTAATTTTTGCATTTACAGGGAAAAACAACCTACAGCTTCTTTTACAGTTGGACTTGGTGATCTTAAGGGTCTTTTCCAACCTCAGTGATTCTGTGATTCCAGCAAAGGAGTTTCAGATTTCATTCACTGGAAGTGTAGCAGGAGGAAAGAAACCATAAGGAAAGTGGTTCTACTGAGGAGGTCCCAAATGTCTGCAGAAAGTGACTGATGGTTACTGGGATGTTTCCGAGTAAAGAGAGGCACGTTTGTTAACATAAACATCTGTTTTGACAGACTGGCCACGCCTCTGTCAAGACTGAAAAGGCCATACCTGAACTGACGGTAACTGACACCAAAATGAGGAACAAGTGGACAAAGATGTGATTTAAAAGAATAGACAGTGAGGGATGACTTTGTTCAAGGACCATGATCTTGCACTTTGAAAACTACCCAGAAGGAAAGTTTTTGGGAAGCCCAGAATGAGACAGAACTATTTTAGTATTATCTTTCAGGACACAGAATAGAGTGCTTGATAAGCATCAGTTCCTTCAGAAACTCTTCCAAAGAGACATACAAATCTGCAAACTTAATGAAATTCCTTCATGAAATTTCCAAAAACCAGAAGAACAGTTCCCAGCCAAGAACCAATTAGGACATTAAATTGCTTGTATGTCAGAGTCGGTTCATGACAGCTTCCCAGAAATCTCTAGGAAAAAAAATGCTGTGAGCATAATTTAATGGAGGAAATGAAGAAATAACAAGGAACTGCACCAACCTGAGAAGGCTGCCCTTTGAACCCAGGAAATGGAGGTAGCAGTGAAACTCTCAAATGTGTCAAGGGCTGGGGAGAATGTGGAGGCTTCAGCTCGAGAAACAATAATAATCTGTCTGAAGTCTTGTGGGAGTCTGTAGGAAAAAAGTGTTACAGGCTTTTTTAGAATGAGATGGGCAAGGATGAACTGTATGAGAAGAGCGTGGAGTCAAAGCATCTGCAGTTTCCACTAAAGAGGACTGCAAGTAGTTTCATACACTGGGAAATATGCTACAGGTCCTCAAAATCCACTCTGGAGCATCTATTTTTTCTTTTCTTTTTTTTTTTAATTTCATTTAATTAAAAGACAAGCTTTCCTTAGCTCCTTCCCAAATGTCAGTTTTTCTCTGAGTTCTTGCCAATGCAAGCAATTCAGTCTTGGTGAGGCACTCACTCTGAGCAAAGCAATCATTTATCCATTATGCATCCAGAGGGGAAAAGAAATATAGCAGAAAACATGCAAAAGTAATTAACCTTGAATTTTCCCCCAGAAATTTATACCTGTATCTTTACAAAGTAGCATCTTGACCTATGAGATTTCTGTTTCTTTGAGGCTGACAAAAAAAAGTCAAATACAATAACTATTAAGTTTGTTCTATGGAGAAAATAATTTAAATTATTTTTACCTACCACTTACTCCTACTTATGGCTGCTCAGCTTCAACAATCTGAGTGGTTGAATTGAAATCTTTTCTACATAATGCTTGTTTTGCAACAAAATGTTAAAGGGACACCTGTTATCTCTATGGCTCCCAACATCTACTTCTTGTATTTCTCATTTAGCAAGTCACCTTGTCCTCTAACCTTTTCTCCAATGTGATTGTTCCTCTGGATTTGGAAAGGGTATATCTTCTGCAGTTTTTACACACCCCAGACTAAATGATTCCATGATTTTATAATACAGACCAAGTGAAAGAAACCGAAACATAATGGAAGATGTTGATGATTTTTGAATCATCTATTAGACAAATACTAAAATTCTGATTAATGGAGTAACATGTCTTGAAGAGTCATAAAAGAGTCAAACTCTGAACAGAATATTAATTGCCACATATTGCAAACATGTTTTAAAAATAATTTTGCTACTGGTAAATATTTCTTTCTTTTTTCTTGTGAGAGGGAGGGAATTAATTAAGTAGTGGTGCATTTATTTTCTTAATACAAGGAATTTACATTTCACAGTTTTACTTTTTTTCCAATGATGTGTTAGCCTTCGGCCAAGGTACAGGTGAAGATTAGGGACTCTGAGAAGAAAATTTAAAAATTAAGCCTACAATTAATACAATTAATATTTAAAAGTAAGCAAATGTTATTAACAGATCTTTTCATCTGTTCAAGTTGTGTCAAACCTGGTGTTTATGAAGGAAAATCATAGCTATGCATGGAAAGCTGCCAAAGAGACTTTGGACAGGTTGATTTCTTCAATAACAGTAATTTAACCCACTTATAACTTCTTCACGTTAAACTAATACCTGAGAAGAATGAGAAGGTGGCAAGTTGTTGAGTGCACATTAAAAAAAAAACCAAAACAAAACAAAACTAGTGCTGATTTTTTTTTAAAAAGGATCCTAGTAGTGTACGTGTGCACAGAAGGGGTTGGGCTCTGCTCCCAGGGAACAAGGGACAGGCAAGAGGAAACAGCCTGAAGTTGCACCAGGGGAGGTTTAGATTGGATAACAGGGAAAATTTCCTCACTGAAATGGTTCTTGAGCATTGGCACAGGATGCTCAAGGCTGTGGTGGAGTCACCATCCCTGGAAGCGTTAAAAAAAATGTAGATGTGGCACTTGAGGACGTGCATTAGTGGTGGGTTAAGGGTTGGACTTGATGATCTTTACAGGTCCTTTCCAACCAAAACAATTCCATAATTCTGTTATTTGAAATTTGTTGCCGCTTTTCACTGATTAAGTAGCAGCACTGAGTACAGAGTAACCAGCAGTGGAATGTCACAGTGCTGCAAATAATTAGTTAAATATCTTATGTTTTCAGGTCAAATTATGCCTAAACCAGTAACAGTCTGTGCATGTCTAAAGTGCCTCACATCTCAAAATGCCAAGCCACTTTGCATTAAGTGATTGATGCCAGACACAAATAGTCTCCTTGTCACACAAGCCTTAATCTTGCCTTTTTTAACCATATACCTTACAATGCTTGTGCTGTAATCTTTCAACTTTTTAATGGGAATCAAAAGGTAGATTGGTTATTTCCTGACTGGCTGATCTCTAAACCTGTAAATCTACACCTGTGAGCAGTTTTCTGCTATGGCAATTTTTTTATTCTTTTGATCTGC